TCTTAATCCGCCACTGTAGTAAAGGGGGCTATTCCAGGTTTAAAGACTAGTAAGCAGGCAAATCCACAATTTCAAATTCTTCGCACACAATTTTATTTTAATGTCATGGATATTTATTCCGTTTTTAAACAACGTGCTGTGTTAAATAAATAGTTTAAAAAATAAAACATTCCGAAATATCTAAATAGAGGCGAGGCAATTGCCTCCAACGCTCCCCTATGGATAAATAATGAAATATTTTAAAATCATATTATTTGTATTAACAAACGCACACTTAAAAATATCAACTAAATATAATAATTCTAAAGATTATATTTAATTATGCATCTAAATAATATATTTCATCATTTAACTTCATATATACGTTGAGGTTAAAAAAGTATTACAGGAAAAACTCATTTTGTAAAGAAGATAGTGCAGTACAGTTGGGTTGTTCTTATAGTAGTAATAAAGCACATGCTCTTATTACAATGTACATTGTCCAAGAATGATTACTAAACATTACGAGATGGATTTAGTAAGATAATCAACTTTGTGTTGTTCTATTTGTTAGGCAACTTTAAATGAAATAGATAAGTTGGATGCTATTTATGAGAGAAGTAACACACTTAGTGAATCTAGCTTTTCGTATGGAATATCTGTTTTTCATTGATGGATTAGATGTATGGAGCGCTTCCTCCGTAAACAAAACAGGTTTAGCAAAAAGCAGGTTTGGGGAAAGAAAATCAAACTAAAAAAAAAAGGAGAAAAGGTGTTAGTACAAAGTGGATTGAAGATAGATAAGGAGATACCTCAAAAAAAGTTTTACGATTAAGTATGCTTTCTGAAGAAGCACAAAAATAAAGTGAAAAACTATGGGTAATTCTTTTCGCATAAAATTTCTATTAAGAAACAGAACCTAAATTTAATATGAAGACTTCTCTTTGGTTTAGATCCAGTTAGCTGAAAAATAATTGCTTTTTTCCAAAGAAGTTGAACTTCTAATTATAAAAAAAAAATTTTCTTTCACTTAAATTTTGATTTTAGAAATGGATTTTTAGACACAAAAAACCTATATTTTTTATGTATATATATTAATGTATATATATTTATGTATATATATATATGCCATAATTATGTATGATGCCATAATTATGTATGATCCCATAATTATGTATGATGCCATAATTTTGTATGATATCATAATTATGAAAGTTGACGCTAAAAACTAATGAGTGCTAATAAGAGTAGTCAAAACTCAATTTTTCTGTCAGAAATAAATTCCTCGAAACTAAAAATCTTTATTTTGATAAACATGGTTTGTGATGACTGGATTGATTAGCAAGACTATAAGCAGTACTGACATGTCGACGCTTGAAAAAATGCCATACATTTGTACCCATATGATTCATAATTAACATATAATTTTATTAATGAACCTTTTGTACCCCAGTTTTTTGTTCAGACGTGATAGAATTCAGTTTACAAATCTATAGAAAAAACATAAATACCTAGCAAACATTGTTTTATTGGATTGGCAATGGATCTATACGGGCATTTTTTAGCTAAGTAAGCAATGAAACTCCAATGAACCATTGCAGTTTCATCAGTTACTTAGTGGACCGTTATTGGCAGCCTCTTTAAATGGCAATCCGATAAAGTTCCGACATATTAATAGTGATAAGTCATTGGCTAGCCGCTTTCAGCGGCTGCTATTAATAGTAGTGTAGCCGATGAGCAAAACTACAGCGATCCGCTAAAAATGTATAAATAGGTCCACTGAAATTGTACTAAGAATGTTTGCTGGGTAGGCTGATAGGTGATGTGGCATTTATTATATAGTATGTCTCTGTTATGAAGCCTCTAACTCAGGCGTTAGATATCTTGCAGTTTAAAACAAAAGTTTACAAAGAAAACCTGCTGCTAACTAACAACTTTGAAATAGAAAATACGGGTCCTTCTTTGCATCAGCTCAATCCAGTACTGCAAGCTAATTGTAGTATGCATGGATGCTTCCACAGATAGCTGATTCAATAAGCACATCAAGAATGCAGAATTAATTGCAGCAGCAATTGCCCATTCAAAATTTTTAACAGTTTAGATCAAAGAAAACAAACAAAAAAAAGTTGGTCTGGAATTCCTGGAGAACATTGTTTGATAGCAACAGCAGCTTGCTAAAAAAGTGACCAAACTTTTTATTTAAGACAAGCACTTTTTACTTTGTAACTATAAAGTACTTTTAACATACCATACTTTTTTATTTTAATTCAAGTATTTTGATGCGCATTCAAAAGATGAATTTTAATTAATCTTTTAATAAATAATCTTTTTTAATAATTTAAATATTTATTTAATAAATAATACTTATTTAATAAATAATCTTTTAATTTAAATTAGTTTAACAGTATTTTTTACTGCCCAACAATGAAATATACATACTAGACAAAATTAATAGAGTGCAATTATGTTAAAAACTGTTACACGAAATGCAGTTAGCAGGAACAGTATTTTTCAAAATTGATGGAGTTAGTTTTTGTTTAAAATCACTTGATATTATTGACATTAACGACATCAGGCCCAAATTATTCCAGCTCTGAGAGAAAAAGAATATTTACGGACATTAAGTTGACACTTTAATTAGCGTAATTTAACTTGACGATCTCATGCTTAAATATAAATGTTAACTAAAAGAAAATTCCATACATGAAGACAAACTAAGTTGTTCAAAATGTTGTAACATGATATTAAGTTTTGCTTTAGACAGCAAGTTTCGTGTAGTTCTAAATCGAGTATTGAAAGTATGTTAAATATATGAAAACTTACTTAAGTTGGTTTCTTAGTAAAACATCTTGTTAATAAAGTAAAACTTAGTAAAACTTCTTAAGACTTTTTTTGACTGCATTTACTAATTAAATGCAATATGGCGACTAGATCGGAGAGCAATATTCTTAAATAGGTTTTATGTAAGTAGTAAAGGCTTTTAACAGAACACGTGGATCACGGTTGTCGGTAAAATGCGAACTGCGAACCGGTAAAATGCTAACTCTTTTGCGAACAAAAACATTATATTTTTAAGATCATTATTGTTATGATAAAAATAATAATAAAAAAAACTCTCTAATTTCTAATTTATCTATTTTAAAGCTTTATTTAAAATAAAATTTTTACTTTTTAACTGTAAAACATGCGCGTAGCGTTGCTACATCGACTATCTTATAGCCTGACTCGCAACGGAGTGCGGCTACATCAACTATCTTATAGCCTGACTCGCAACGGAGTACTGCTACATCGACTGAGGGTTTGGTTTAGGCAGACAGTCTATCAAATTATTTATAAAAAAAAAAAATTTATTATATTTTTTTATTTTCACTTAATTTCCTTTTATTTATTTTTAATTAATTTTTTCGCTTAAAAGTACTTAAAATATACCGCTAAATTAATCATTTAACGGAAATAAAACACTACATCATTAACAACCAATAGGACAATGGTTCGCAAAAAAGTTCGGTTCGCAGTTCGTGGTTCGCATTTTACTTAGTACCGTAGATCACGACTTTTAAAACACTTAAGTACTGTAGATGATCGGATGTTTGCTATACGACAATATTTGAAGTTTAGTAATGAGTGCGTAGTTCATATGGTGTATCTGAGAAGATACACCATATGAACTAATTTCTTTTTGAGATTTTTAAGTATTTAAAAACTCAGAATTAAAACCCTCCTCAAAGGGCAACACTTTTGGGGTGCCTTAAGGTTTTGTCCTTGGTTTTGTAATGTTTTTTTAATCTAAATTTATGATTTTTTTTGCATTTCTTACATTTTAAGTGGCTCTATTTGCAGACAACTCTATTTTCTCTTTTTGATTGCTTAGAACTGACTACCAATCTTAAATCTGGTCTCTTTTCTGTTACAGTTTAAGACTTGCAGTGGCATGTGAATTTTAACTCAAATATTGCAATATTGTCGACATTTCTATATTGATGAACGATAACTCTCTAACTGCTCTCTTCTACACGTCTCCTTGGACTATCATTCACACTGAACTCTAATGAAAACCATTAATACGATTCATTGCAAAGTTAGTATCTGGTAAGGTTGCTTCTTCTTATCGTGTTTGTCATTATCTAACTCCTAATTTCATTCTCAACTTCTACAAATTTCATATTTGTCTATAAATGAAAAACTGCTGTCATATTTGGGCTTAATTTTCCAATGATGCTCTTTTTTTCTAGACAAGGTCCAAAAACACTTTGTTAACATAATCAGACCTGCTTTATCTGACAAGCTTGAGCCACTCTCCCATCAGCGTAAAGTTGTATCTCTCTTTTTTCTGCAAATACTATTATGGTTGCTTCTCAAACGAGCTATCACCTCTGGTTCCATCTACCAAAACTCATTTTCACATTACTCATCATTCATCATTATAACTAAAGAGTTAGTTCATATACAGAATTTTCATATACAAAACAGAATGAGGCAGAAAGTGTTTGATATGGCATTCAAATATTATGAGTACACTACCGTCTATGTCTTATCAAAATATTAATTAAGCTAACGATGAGCTGCATAACGCATACTAAAAACGCTGCAATCAGCAGATGGATTATGCTTCTATGGAAGTAAAAAAAACCTGGAAAAAAAAAAATTAAGATTCTTTAAATCTTTTGTTGTTCTGACAGAAAGCGTAGTTGTTGTAGTTACATATAAACTATTTACTATCTTTGTACCAAATCTTTTCCAAATCTTAAATACTATTTCTAGTATTAAAGATTTGGAATCCGATAGATCTTAGAGTAGATAGATAAATTTTTTTTATTGTTTTACAATAAATCTATCACAGTGTTTCTATCACAGTGTTTTTTATTGTTTTACAATAAATCTATCACAGTGTTTCTATCACAGTGTTTCTATCACAGTGTTTATATCACAATGTTTGATACGTTGAGCAAAAACCTCAAGAATGCATGCTTTAAAAAAAAAATTAAAAATTATAAAATTTAAGATTAAAAAAAACAACAACATAAAAAAAGAGTACTTTTTAAACAACTAAACTTATACATTCACATCAAAACAATTCAGCTTAAAACACTCTTTATAGCTTTCTTTAAGACTCTAGTTAACGGGTGTAGTCGTGATAAAATTTTTATTAAGTTTAAGATATTAGAACTTATATTTTGAAAAACTTATAACCTACTTTTTAGGGCATTTTCATTTCCAGACTATAATCAAATCAATTTTCAGCAAAATATCAACATATGACATAAGTATAAATATACAAAAGCTTGTAGTTCAGAACTTACATGGTAGTTATTTAATTTAAATACTAAAGAAATCGCGCCTTACACCTGTGCTAGAATCTTGCTATAATTGTTTTTAAGCATTACCTTAAATTATAATTATAATAGAGCACATGTTGTATAAAATACTTTACCAAAAATTTTAAAAAACAATATTCTTATAGTACCAAGTGTCCTTTACAATAAAGAGAGCAAGTGCTCTTTGCAATAACCTTTTCTGTTGGACTAAGAGTTGCATAAAATAATAAAAAAATACAAATAAAAAAATATTTGAAAAATATTTTTAAAGAAAAATATAGTTAAAGATCTATATCAACATTTGAAAAAAAAAGTGAAAATAAAAAAAAAAAAAAGTTTTAAAAACTCAATAATTCAAAATTGAGTTTATATTATTTGCAAAGACTTGTCGCGAAAATCAACAATTTCATTTGCATTTTACATATTGTAATTTTGTAAAGCTACCTACGTCATTCCAAGATAACTTAGATTTTAATTTTGAAACATTACTTCAATTGTACTCAATGTTTAGATTTCTCTATGGTCATTTTGAAAAATTGCATCTAAAATTATTTGGGAACATTATCTTTTGAAAAACATGCGCCAAGAGTTATGGGTTCTTTATGCTCTGAATAAAACAACGGACTTTTCTGATAATACGAAATAATGTCCATCAAGTTGGTAAAGCCTAGTTTACCAATGAACAGTTGGTTATTCTGCAATTCAATAGGAAAATGGCGTATCCTAAATATAAAAAAAGTAAACATAATTGTAAAGATGACAAAATACTTTTCATAAAAGCATATTTAGTCAAGGTTATTGTACTTTTGCTCACAAAAGGTTTAACACCGACTCACCTATAACAATATTTCACCGAAAGTGCGTATGAACCAGGAGCCTATTAGCAAGAAATATTAGAGAAATAAACTGTAATTAAAAGATGTGTTATCTTTCATATAGTTAAGAAACTGCAAACAATACAAATATAAAAAAATGACGTTGACTTACACGCTGACTTTCTCTAACTAAAAATTCTTGTTGGCGACCGTACTAGATAAAATCCATTTTTAAAGTACAAATTAGTTTCAATTTCAAACATAAATTTGAAAAAGTACCGTAGTTTTATATATATATATATATAGTACATATATGCGTCATTTATGATAATAATGAGATAATGGAATAGCAGTTATAAAGTAACTTTAATTTAAACATTAAATAAGATGATACCGTGCTTAAAATGCGCTCACAATCTGCTCTTGATATATTCCCGAAAAACCAAGGTTCGGAATCATATACTGTAAACAATTTAAAAAAAAAATGAAACGTCACATTATCTAAAATAAAACGTTTTATCTAAATCCCTAAAGCAAACTTTATTTACTATAAAGTTAAAAAAAAAGGTGAAAATTACCTGATCGAAGAGGCATTTCAGGTTTATCGTACAAATCTTCGTCATACTTACGAACATTGCAGATGTCATTAAGCAACGGAGCTGGCATTTGAACTCGAGATGAAAGATCTGTTTTATTATTTGGATTATTTTGATCAGATGATATATAGCGCATAGAGAGTAGCTTAGGTTCAGATGATGTATGAGAAGGATGTTTAGTAGTTTCTTTTGGAGTTTCACGATCATTAGGATCTAAGATTTTAGAGGCTTTTGGCTGATCAAGTGGACGAGGACTGGGACGTGGACGAGGTCTTGGCTTTGGAATGTCACAAACTTAAAAAAAAAAATTATAACAAAACGCTACTTTAATAAGTTGATAAAATTCTATGTACGAATGAATACAATTTGAATCGAATTTGAAACTAAACATTGTACCGCGTTAAGCGTCAACAGCAAAAAACTAAAAGTATCATACCGCGTTGAGCGTCAATAACAAAATCAAAATTTCTCTGCAAGTATGTTTCTGGGACCCAACCTTGTTTTCCTGTGTTATTGATATTCTCTTGTTCAATTAACATAACAAACATCCAGCCTGAATCGGCGGAAATGAGCTGCACAATATCGCCCTTACGTAGTAAAAGGTCATCATTTTTATGATGGCCAGGAGTGTAATCGAGCAAAGCTATGTAGAATTCTGTTTCCTGATAAAAAAAGCTCATAGATACAAATTAAAAAAAAAAAAAAACTATTTCAATGAATATTAGAAAAGCGACGCTTTTTAGCCAAGAAAAGAGTAACGATCTTTTCAATTGTCCGATTAGAAAGTTTTTTTACAAAAGTCAACGGCGTCTTCGTTTTTACGAGAAAGCTGTACTATTCTGGATTACGTGATTCGAGGCAAAATGCGAAATATAAAATGGAATCGTTTTCATATACTTTTTACTCTAGACTCGAGCATGCAAAACATGAAACCCAGAGTTGGATTTATTGTACCTGTCCCTTCTTGTTAGTTAATGTAAATATACTTTATAAATGTATAAATTATTATTACATGATTAATAAACTTAACTTTTTTTTTAGTTCTCAAAAAGTTTGCTTTTTACCAGTTCGCAGTAGAAAATCGCCAATCACAAATCGCCTCAGTACTCTGTGCGCTATTTAAACCATATTAATCTTATGTAGGAATTTTATTTTAAATTGTAGTGTGTGTATAACATTTACATAACACTTACTTTGAGTTTTATATGCTTTGGCATCCCAATCATTTTTTTACTAAATGGCAAGTTTCAAACTTATCTATTACTTTGGTATTATTTGTAAAATTAATGATTATTATAGAAAAAAGTTGCTTTAAAAGAAAAAGTTTTTACAGATTACGTTATACATTAAACGCAATACTATAATAATAAACGATATATTAATATTAATAAAGACAATTGTATTTTATATATTTTAATTAAAACTAATATCCGTTTATAACTTTATCCGATACTTCCGAAACGAAATAAGCTTGACAATAGTAAACGACTTATTTTTATTATCTTATCAATTTTTTTTTGTTTGTTAAATAAAAGAAAAAGCCTTGCATCACAATATTTTTTAAAAACAAACAAAAAAAAAAAAAACAACCTTGCGGTAAGTTGGTGCAAAATATAAAAACAATTATTGATGTAACAAGTGCTTTTACAGCTCATTTTGGCAATTTTAGTTAGGTATTCAGCAACTTTAGGCCTTAAATTATTTTTGGAAACTGGTTGTAAAAAAAAGTTCGTATAATATACCAATACCCTTTTTTTTAAAGCTGGTAGCAAATAATAGCTCGCATAACAAACCAAAACTTATTTTCTCATTTTTTTATTTTATTTTTTAAAAACAACTTTTTCCAATATTATTACAAAATTAGAAGAAAAAATAAATTAATTTTATTAAGAAACTTTTTTTTTCTTAGTAAGTACTAACATTTAACTTTTATGAACCAACACAAAATTTTGCTAACTTGCCCCTAAAGCCTTTGTTTACAATAAACAATCTATAGATCCTGAAAAATGGCAAATATTAAAAAAAAAAAAAAAAAAAAGTGAATGGAAATAGTAAATAAAATGTGACTAGAATCTCTATCTTATGTATATTTTTTCATACGAGCTACTATATTTCTACTAATTTATCATTGCTCTGTTTTTTTAAGAATATAGAGCACTTCATTTTGTATAATATATTTATAATTATTTATATTTACCCCACTTGTACCAGGTTTGGTTGGCTTTGTTTGATTAACGTATTTGTTTGTGGGTAACATATTCTGTTGGTCATTCAAGAAAATCCCATCCATAGCATCACCTGTGGATTTGCTTCGAAATGATTTATGGCCCTGTAAATAAAAGAAAACAAGTTTAATAAACACATTAAATAACATCTCTATCCACCTCAAAGCAAATCCTAATTATAGATTAATAATATAAATAGCAATACCTAATAATTAGCAAAAAATAATAATTGATAATTTAATTAACAATAATCCTTATTATTGAAATATTCAAGTCAAATATGAGGTTCAAATATTCAAGTCAAATATGAGGTAATACTTAGTTGTAAATTTACATTTCTATTTTCTCTTTCTTAAACTAAGATTCCAGTAATATAAAATTAGACAAAAGTTTATTTTGCAAATCATTTCATTAAAACAATTATTTTATTCAAACAAACAATAAAAATAAAATTTACTTTTGTCAAACACTGGTACGATAAAGATTCATCATTTGCTGTATTTTTTTGGCCAACTACATTTCCATCACTTGCTCGTCTAAAAACCAATTTTCAAAATAAGAAATTTTCAAAATCTTTATTAAGATTAATGATCTTTTGTGGTTTAATTTACTAAAATGAAATTTAAATGTTAAAATGAAAGAGTAAAACAAACAAAACTTAAAATATGTTTATCTATCATTACTGACAAGGTCATATTAGCCTTGTTTCTATTGAGTAGCTCATATTTGCATCAGTTGTAAGAGATTCCAGTGATATGCAGTAGCTTTCATAAGTTTAAAGGTATTTGATAAACAATTCAAATTTTTAACACTGAACATATAAATCTTAAGGAAACTAATTATATAATTTTTTTATTTTTTAAATAAAATTTCAAATGTTACAACTTTTTTATTGATACAGTTAATTTATTTTTATAAGACTGTTAATAAAATATAATTTTTTATTTGAGTGCAAATAAATTTTTTGAAAAAATGTGAAAAAATTATCCTAGAAATGGAGAATGTGAAAAGGAGAAAGATTACCTCTTCACGAAAAGAACAAGCAAAAAGTAATAGAATAATTAAAGGTATAAAAAAAATTGCAGTTGTTTTGACTTTTTCAAAAATGTGTCAAAGTAACTGATAACTTTATTTTTTGACAAAAGAGTCTCAAGAAAAGCATTTTGATAACTACAAAAATGATGTCACAGTCCACCATGCCAAGTCTAAATCTAAATTTAAAAAATTTTTATTTTTTGAAGGTAGAGCAAGAAAAAGTAGAAAAATAGTAGAGACATAACTTCTTAACAAATGGAATCATACCATTATGGAATTCTTCCGCAGAAGAAACAACCAATCCAAAAATACTGAACTAGTGAAAAATTACACTACCATTAAAACATAAAAAGGCTGTCAAAGTCTGCAACTCACATTTCCATAGGTGCTTCTACCAGCTATTGCATTTCCAGGTGCTTTAGCATTATTAGCTATAGTATTTAGCTATGGCAACGAAAACACTTTTTCGTATCTTTTCATACATGAGTATAATGCAAAATTTAATTAAATTTTTAAATTTTAAAGAGTTAAATTTTTGTTATTAAAAAAAGAAAATTAAAGTCTATCAAAAATTTTAGTTAAAAAAAAAAGTAAAAAATGTAAAAAATCATACAAACAGTAAAAAATATATTCTACCATTATTAATTATTTAAATAACATAGAAAATTTAAAAAAATTCTTTTCTTTTATAGTTTAAAAAAAATTAATATTAAAAAAGGAAGAGAAAAACTGGAAGTGCTGTCAATTGAAAACAATCAAAACAATCTGTCTAATTTCACCTGCCACTAAAGACAGAGGAATTTTAACCAATAGTAAAAAAAATAGGTTATTAACTGTACCTGAAAATTGACTCCAACAAACTGGAAAAGTTGAATGTAAAAGTTGAAAAATAGAATGCTTAGAATATTTAAAGTTGTAATTACATAGATGAAAGTAAATACAAACTAATTTAATGGGATTTTTTTTGTATATGTGACAATAAATGTCAGATACACACCTAAAATACATTTTTTGCTGATAAAACAAACAAAAATAGTTACAAAAACAACTATTTATATATTTCTATACTATATATAAAATAACTATATATATAAATAACTTTATATAAATTATATTTTTTTACTTTATATAAATTATATAAACTATAAATAAAATAACTTTATATAAAATAACTATATATAAAATCTTTTAAACTTTTGTTATTATTAATATAGAGCTAATATTTTTAATGTATAATTTTTTTCTCAAATGAAAAGAAAAACAATTTGAGAATACCACATTACAATTAAATTGGTACAATTTTCGATCTTTATTATTACTTATTTGAATTTTTTTTCTTCATACTATTATTATATTTGAAAAACATTAAATTTAAGTAAAATGGATTTTTCATTACATTTCTTTATTGTTATTTTTATTGGATTGTTATTTTTTCATTTTTTTATTTAGAAATTTAATTATTATTTAATACTTTAAAGTTATTTTTTAGAAACCTCTTTTTCGTTAGAAATCAGTTGAAGACAAAAGCCTGAAGGAGTTTTATAGTATATTTTTAAACCCCTTTTTAATTAAAAATAATGACAATAAATAATAATAATAAATTTAGTTAATGGTATTATTGATTTTTATTTTTTTATTTTCATTGATAATTTTAATATTTGTGGTAGTTTTAGTGAATCTTTTAAGAAACAAGGCTTTGAAACCAATTTATAAGCTAATTAATGATTACCTATTGAAAAGCCAGTAAGCTAATCTGTTATTTCACTTTAATTTGTAAAGGGGCAAAGGAAAAGACTCATAATAGGCTAGTATGATGCTTTCCATGCTGGAACACCTGCATTTTGATTATATTACATTTTACCACAATAATCTGTAATAACTAGAAGAATCTGGATTTTTAAAATATTCTGTGAACGCCCCCAAAAAAAGGAAAACTTTGAAACTATTTTCATAAAACTTAAAACTTATGTGATATTTATCTAATAAAATACAAAAGTTAAGTTTTATTTTCATCATCAAAACCCCTGGTGACAAAAATTTGGCATAATCTTTGAAAAGCTAAAACTTATTGAACTTTTAGTTATCCAGTCTTACTTTTTTAGCTGTTTTGTTTATAAATTGTTAGTTATTTTTTACTAAAGGTTTTGTTTACTTAGATCAATCAATAAAAAAGTTTTCCAAAAATGAAGCTGACTACATGAATTGAACAAGTGTACAACTATTGTAATTTGCACCATAACACTAAAACAAAGAGCATTGTAGAGTATTTTGTTGCCCCTATTTACCCCAAAATAACCATCAAACGCTACATGACAAAGTAGATGAACAATGAGATAAAGTCTCGTAAACCTGGATTAGGCAGAAAACCAAAAATGACTGCTAGGAACATCAATCACCTGAAAGGTCTTTTGAACAACCGGTCTGAAACTTTACAAGAAAAATTGCAAATAAATTCAAGTGTGATCATTCCTACATAGTAAAAACATTAAAAAACAAAACAAACATTTGTTATTTTAAGAAAAAACAAATTCCTGATCGTGCAATAAATCCCTGATTGCACTGATAAGCAGTTAAAGCAGTTGCAACTGAAGTGTGGAAGAATTTGTCGCAAATTCAGAAACTGTGACTTTTTCATTGACAATGAGTCTTATTTTACATTTAAACATACAAATAAAAATTCTAATGCTGAATTTTACTCAGATGAAGCAAAAAATGCACCAAAAAATGTATTTGAAAAATTTGAATTTGAAAAAAAAATTCTTGTGTGGATTACCATATCCCCATGTAGAATCTCAAAACCATTTATTGTTCCTGCAAGACTGGCAATATACCAAACAGTGTAAAAAATTGATTGCATCATTAAATTATTGATTTCTTTTATCAACAAACATCACAGTAATGGTAATGTCAAACATCACAGTAATGGTAATGGTAATTTATCAACAAACATCACAGTAATGGTAATGTATTCTGGCCTGACTTGGCCTCTTCACTTTATGCTAGAAGTGTGACCAATTACCTCAATGAGAAAAATATCCATTATGTAACACAAGTTGATAATCCGGCATGTGTCTCAGAATTAAAACCAACAGAAGATTTCTGCTTAATCCTTAAATGCTACATGTATGAAAACAATTGGAAAGCTGAAAATGAAAATCAATTGCAAAAAAGAATCCATTCTGGTTTGAAAAAAGTTGATAAAAATTTTACAAAACATGTGCGAACATATATACAAAATTGTTGACGCAGTAAGTAGTAATGGCATGAAAGCATTATTTCAGTCCCGAAAGTAAAAAACAAATATGCTACTTTTTTCTAATAATTTTTTGTTCATTAAACTTTTTGTTGTACTATAACTGCTTGTTTTTATTTTGTGCTAAATTTTTGTCACCAGGGGTTATTTTATTGTATAAAGATACATATACATATTGTTACAGTTAATTTTTCATTTTGGGCTATTAGTAGAAAGAATCATAATAGATTTAAAGATTAATAGAATCATAATAGTTTTAAAGTGGAATCACTCTTTCATTAAACACGTTCAGTTCTTTACTGGGATAAAATTTTAGTGTTTTTTTTTTTATCAAAACCAAATTAATTTTGTTATTTATTTTAAGTTTGACAAAAACAAGAGCTTCCCCTCCCTAATAAATTTTGAAATTTATAAAATTATAAAAATATAAAATTATGACCTTTTAAAAGTAAAATGTAGAGTAGTTCAAAACTTTCTTCCACCAGTCCTCAAAATTTAAATCATCAAAACTTTCTTCCACCAGTCCTCAAAATTTAAATCATCAAAACTTTCTTCCACCAGTCCTCAAAACTTAAATCATCAAAACTTTCTTCCACCAGTCCTCAAAATTTAAATCATCAAAACTTTCTTCCACCAGTCCTCAAAATTTAAATCATCAAAACTTTCTTCCACCAGTCCTCAAAATTTAAATCATCAAAACTTTCTTCCACCAGTCCTCAAAATTTAAATCATCAAAACTTTCTTCCACCAGTCCTCAAAATTTAAATCATCAAAACTTTCTTCCACCAGTCCTCAAAATTTAAGTCATCAAAACTTTCTTCCACCAGTCCTCAAAATTTAAATCATCAAAACTTTCTTCCACCAGTCCTCAAAATTTAAATCATCAAAACTTTCTTCCACCAGTCCTCAAAATTTAAATCATCAAAACTTTCTTCCACCAGTCCTCAAAATTTAAATCATCAAAACTTTCTTCCACCAGTCCTCAAAATTTAAAACATCAAAACTTTCTTCAAAGTTTTATATCCTGTTCAACTATTTATCTAAATTCTGCAAAGAAAATAGAATGGGCCTTAAAGTTTATACTGACAATTCAGAAGAAGGTGTTGATTACCTCTTTAACACTGTATAGTGAAACTGATACAAGGTGTCTTCTAGTAATTCCAATATGGAAATAATTTACTTAGAGCATTAAGCTAATATAATTTGAAAAACTTTTTGTAACATTTTTTTTATGTACGAATCTAAATG